GAGGCCATCACGTAGGGTCAACCCCCATAACACGCAACAAAAACAGACAACAAAGAACTTTGCCAGGTTTCATAACCATTCCCTCAATTAACTATGCACAATCCAATTATTCAGATTAACCTTTATCCTTCATGTACTGACATTATCAACAGGTACACAATGTATAATGGGTTTAGTACAATTATACTTTCATGTCATGATCAATGTTGTAAATTATCTTTTTTAACTTCATATTTTTGACACAACAAAAACAAGCTTTTAACAAAACTAGTAAGATTAAATCTTATTTCTAAGCAGTTTTGAACTTGTGCACTTTTAAGAGTGAAAAAATTTGAAACAGTAAAATTGCTGACTTTGATTTAATCAATGCAACCAAATTTAATTTTCGCCCAGACAAATTTCTTTATGGATTTTTGTCTGATAGAATTCTTATTCCCATAATGATGATGTAATCTGAGTACAGTGGAACCTCTACTAGGGGACACCTCCCACAGGTGGACAACTCCCAATAGCAGACACTTAAGTAATGGTCCGAGCCACATTTGCACACTCCATTTTTGACCTCCTTAAAGCAGACAGCTCTCTTAAATGGACACTTTTTCTGGTCCCCAAGGTGTCTGCTTATGGGAGGTTGGACTGTAGATTACAATTTCCTGCATTACCAGATGGGTGCTCAAGTTTGTCTAGGAAAGCCTTCTTACTAAGCATAACTAACTAAATACAAAGAATTACTTTTTGATGCAATTATTTTATGCTATAAAGCATAACTGTTAGTAACAAAGGTGAAATGATGAAAATGAAAAAAAATTCTCTTTGTTATGTTAGTGGACAGTGGCTGTCAGCATGTGCATATCAACTTTGTTCCCAGCTTTGATTATTGTTAAATAAATCTTCATGAACTTATATGAACATGTAAGCCAAACTATTATTATATTAATATATATTTGCTAATAGTTTCCTCATTTAAAACTCTGAAATGTCCACAGCCTTGTGAAATGAGCATACATGTGCATAAGTATACATACCCTTCTTTTCTTTTCCTCTGCCTGTTTAAGTATATCCTCTTTGAAAGGGAAAAGATTAGGAATCCCTGGATCTTTCTTCTGTTCTGAAATAATATCATCAAGATGCAGTTTGTGT